TTGTTGTTGTTGTTCCTGTGAGGACATCGGAGAAATACTCCTGGATCCATCTGGACGCTTTGCGCATTGCGTAATTGGCAGGGAAATGCGCTTGCCCGTTGGATAGGTTACACATAATGTTGGGACTAATCTCTTCTGCAAGGCGTTTATCGCACAACAGAAACAAGCACGAGAGTGTTTAGTATGCGTGGGAAAGGTCAAAATCAGATGCTGGTGGCGCTCTGTTGGCTCTTTTTGGTACTGACGAGGAGCGGAGCAGGTGAGGTGCCTCATCATCTGTGTTTCTGTTTCTCTGAATCAATTACTTGCGTCATTGTGGCTAAACTGCCTTCTCGTTTTTCACCTTGTTAACGATGGCTATGTTCTTGATTGGGCAGACAGTTACGGTGATTCAACTGCGTTAAATGTCCATGACATTGATGATCTAATGATGTCTTACATGGTTCTTCATTTGCAGGTGACATTTTAACCTATTTGCTGTCAATGTCCATACCGGTGTGTTGAGCATGTCTTGCTATTACATGTAACCTGAGAGTATTAATGCTGTCCAATGGAGAAAGGGCAGGAGTCTGTGTCACATCAGTGCAAGCAGCAGTGGCACAATGGTCAGGCAAATAAAAAATTCATGACAAAGGTAATGAAGAGGACCTTGGTTTTGTCCATGACGTCAGTGCTTCTGCCTTTTTTTGAAGCCTTTTCTGTCACCAGATATATTGTTAAAGCGCTGATCTGAGTGCCCGTATTATCTCAACAAATATACTCTGCTATGCCATAAGACTCTAACTTAATCTTCATCAACCTCTGTGTCAGTTTCAAGATGTGTGGACCATGCCTGTAGTCCACCCATAGGGAACCTGGTTAGTGGCAGGACCCTCCTCACCCTCTCAAGCTGCTGTGGGAACAGCTCCTTCCAGCACAGCCCTTGCCCCCATCCTCCTGTGACCCCGCACCTCTGCCTCGATGACACCCACCCTTCGGCTCATATGACTGACGACCCTTTCTTGTATCCGGATACCTGGTGGGCATCAGGTGCAGGTACCACCATGAAGGGGCAGCAGGATGAGATCCGCCTGGACCTGGAAACACAGTTCTGTCTGTCCCATGTGATTTTGGTGTTCAGGTCACCCCGGCCTGCTGCCATGATCATCGAACGTTCAGCTGACTTTGGAAAGACCTGGGAGGCTCTTAAGCTCTTCGCACACAATTGCAGCTTGGAGTTTGGTTTGCCTGATGATTTTACGCAGCCAGCCTCTTTGTGTACATCCCGTTATACCAGTGCTACACCCTGCAGTGGGGGGGAGGTAAGAGAACATGCACAGAGATATATTATCTTTTAACAGATCCACGATGTTTGATTCGGTGCTGATTTATGCCCTGTTTCTCGTCCCAGGTAATATTACGGACACTTGACCCCAGCAGTGCTAAAACACTGGACCTTTACAGTCCGGAGGCTCTCGCCCGCCTCACCCTCACAAACCTCCGCATCAGACTGCTAAAAGCTCAGACCTGTCCGGCACATCTAAATCCCCTTGCAGAATGGAGAAGCCCCCAAGCCTCAGCTCTGACCTCCACATCCACCACAGAAAGCCCAGCCTCAGCACCTTATGCTATTTATACTTTACTGGCCAGAGGGACCTGCCTGTGCTATGGACATGCTAAGTACTGTGTACCATACAACAGCAGCCAAGACACAAGACGGGACAGTAACATGGTGAGTTGTGTTTCCTGTACGTGTGTAAGTAAAAGAACAGCAGTCAGTCATAAGGAAACTATGAGAGAAAGTGTTTGCATTGGCCTGTGTTCTATTACAGTCTTGTATAACACACATGCAAGGATGTTACGTCCAGGTGTTAAATGTATTTACTGATGGAAAAATTGCCAGTTAAAGAGCTTTAAATAGCTTGATTTACTCTTTACACCACCTGCCTGGATGTATTTTATAGCTGTCTCTAGACAGCTTTAAAATAGCAGGCGGCTGTAAGGTCTGCTAATGTAAGTGAAGCAACTGAGCAGCCCCAGATGTCTCTTCCAGGTGTCTGGTAGGTGTCTATGTACTCACCACACAGCAGGGGATCACTGTGAGAAGTGTGCCCCGCTCTACAATGATCGTCCCTGGCGACCTGCCAACAGCAGCAGTGGGGAGTCCAACACATGCCAGAGTAAGTGACCACCAACAGGACTGTACGACTATCCACTTGGATCGGTGGATAGTCGTCTTGCTGGTAATGAGAAAGCTAGAGAAGAGCTTGTTGAGTGTTGATGCGGTGTTGGAGGAGATGTGTGGGTGTGTACTTTGAATTAAATATTGGCTGCACATAGAGGAGTTCTAAATAAATATTTAAGATGTATTTAGATTTTTAGATGTTTCTTTTTTTTTTAATCGGCACACAAACAAATAGCAACAACACATACAGTTTGACTATAGTAAACAAGTAGGCTACAAAGACTAAACACAAATCCAACACATACTTGTGATTTGCCCATCAGCCGTGTTTCCTGTTCAGTTTCTCACTCATCCCCATCCTGATGCCCTCACTTTGTCTCTCTCTCATCTCTCTGACTGCTACGACATCACACACCTCTGTGACTTCAGAGTGCCAGTGCCACGGTCACGCAAATAGCTGTCACTTCTCTCAGCGGGCGTGGCTTTCCTCTGGTGGCACCAGTGGCGGCGTCTGTGATGACTGCAGACACAACACTGTCGGGCGCAGGTGCCAGCGCTGCCGCCACGGGTACCACCGCCACCCATCCCTGCCCCTCAACTCGTCCCAAGCCTGCACACGTAAGGGTTGTTCTGGCGTGGGACTGGCGAATGTATTTTCTACCAATCAGAAAAAAGCAAGATTAATTTGATCTAGGTGGAGTTAATTCAAAGTTAGGGAGATTTGTGGATAAAATGAACAATAACCATGATGTCTAACAGCTCCATCTGCTGGCTTATGTTTGTACATAATTTGACAGTAATAGAAGAGAAAAAGAACTTTAACTGGGTCTCTGTTTCTCAGGCTGCTGGTGTGACCCGCAGGGCTCTTTACCTCCTCGTCCTGGAGTGGAGGGACTCTGGTGCCACCCTAGAAGCGGGCAGTGTCAATGTAGATCTGGTGTAGGGGGCACAAGCTGCAGCCACTGCCTGCCTGGCTATTGGGGTTTTGGAGAGGAGGGCTGTAAACCCTGTGCCTGCCCTCACAGCTGTCATCCAACTACCGGGGAGTGTCTGGACAGGTTAGCCATAATGCTTAATTCGTGGCCAAATTCTTTAAAACTGAACACAGCATGGTCTATTGCTGACAGTGAACCTTGACCTGATGGGTTAAATTCATTTTTTGCAGCTACTCAAATAATCAGGTGTTCAATGTGCCCATTGGTGGAAAAATCCCTGACCTGGATCACATGTTCACAATTGAGGAAGAGGTGCAGTGGTCCAAGGAGCTTGCAGTCTCTGCTCTGCATTCCACAGGTGAGTGTTGTAACTTACTTTGCTGTGACATTATCTGCACTGCAAGGCTTAAACTCAATTTCTGTGCACAGGGAAGTGTAGCTGTAAGGAGAAAAAGCTGAGGAGTGTGTCTGACCTCTGTAAGACCAAACATGATTATGGTGAGACATAAAATTTGCTTTCAACTTTCACTTGGTCCAAAATTTAAAACAACAACTGTGATCTACAATTTGGCTGATGCTTCAAATTGCCTTCTGCCTTCTGTCTTTCTGTGTGGCCCATGACAGTGATCAAGGCAAGTGTGCTGTCTGCTCATGACAAAGGCAGCCACGCTGAAGTCCAGGTCAAAGTTCGCAAGGTCCTTCGATCAGGCCAAGTGGCGCTCTACTTGGGGACCATCAGCATCTATCCTCTGTCTTGGACCAGCCGTGGCTGCACCTGTCCTATTCTGAACCCAGGTGAGACAAGTTCTAAATATGACAAAGAAAAGGGATTTGCGATATGGCACATGAAACACAGTAACGTTCAGTATATGGTTTCAAGGTTTTCTAGAAGAGACTTCTAGCATTAAAAGATGAATATTCAAGCTGTCAAACAGTGATACAAAGGTTAGAAAATATCAAGCTCGGGACAGATTTGTTGTTAGCTTTAATCAATTTACAATGTTTTACCTTTTTCACCAGGTATGGAGTACCTCCTAGCAGGCCCAGAGGAGGCCAGGACAGGCCGTCTGCTGGTCACCATGCAGAGTGTGGTGGTCCCATGGACACCCCAACTAGGTCTACTTCTATCAGAGGGCCTGAGGAATGGATGTCCATGAACCAAATGATCGAAAAAGACACACCTCAGGGGATTTCAGTCTGTGGACAATTCAGTAAAGAGACTGCCAATCACTGGATAACATGCTGTTTCTTCAGGATGGAATGATCCAAGAGTCAAACTCATAAGTCAAGGTCACAAAACTGAAGAAAGGTACTCACAGTGTGTGGGTTTGCACAAAATATAGACTGAAATTAATGATTGGGTGTGGTCACATAAATAATACGCACATAATAAACCGTCTGCAAGTGTGATGTACCTGATATTAAAGGCCTTCTTTGCATACAAGATTAGTTTGTGTGATAACCAGTTCCATTTTGAATCCATTTACTTGGTAAGTTGGTAAAATACTTGGATGAATTCTCATACTCTTTATCTCCTCTTTTTTTTTTTTTTTTTAGCACAGAACAAATTACATAAGATGGTCGTATAGCCATAGAGAAAATATGTGAAGTGGAAAAACTTATGAGCTTTAATTGTTTGAATATTAAACTTTTAATAAATACATTTAGAAGCTAAAAATATATACTTTGGTTTCAGCGAAATGTTGAAAAACAATGTTACTTAAATAAAAGCAATAGAATAAGTAAAGGTTGTAAAATATGATCAGGTTCTGGAATTTTACTCAGTCACACATTTTCCTCAACTTGTACATCTCCTTTGCAATGTTAGTGAGTAAAGCTCACACTAAACTTAAGGTGTTGTGCTTTGACTTTAAAAGGACCAAAGAAAAATGAAACTGAAATTGTTCGATCATCATTTTAATCTGGACATGTCTGAGGAAAACCATTTTAAGGCTTGAACAACATTGAGTGGTGACCACAGAATCCAACTGGAGATTAGACAGTGTTAAAGACAATATAAACATTTACGCAGTGGTCTAGGCCAGATACAGGGTCAATTAACAAAAATTATGACCGTTTTTCATACAGCAACAGATGAAGATGGAGAACCTGAAGTATCTAATATTCATATAAATGTTCACCGAACAGAACATGTAACAGTAGCCTTGTTTTCTTACCATTTATTTGTGTTTTGGTCTCTGAAGTGGTGGAAAGCAAATGGAATCAACAGTTTAAGAGTTAAAACTGTCTTGAGTGAAAGGAAGATTCCTAAAAAAAAGCCGAGCATTGCTTAAATTAGAAGAATAAAGTGATACCTGATTAGATTTTTCTAATTAAATTATTAGAGATAAATCAGTGCTAAGTGATGTTCCTGACCAGTTGACATTAACAGGGAAACATGCACGCCAAGTAACTGCTCTTCTGACTGACAAGAGAACATGCAGCAAATTAAAGTCCTTTGGCATATCAAGTGAGTCTTTCAGCTAATGTCCCTGCAGCAAATTGCTTGGCCAGCTGTCATTAAACCATATTACTGAGTGATGTTTGAGTGCTCGGCAAACAAAGCAGCCTATACTTCTGTAAATATGCTACGTTTCTCTGCATTCACAACATCCTTGTTCATGAGCGCCAGAGCTGTGTCAGTAAGCGCTCTCTGTCAGCTTAAACAGGAGAAGAGACCAATCAGAGCTCCTCGTGGAGAGTCTTATGCTGGGCAGTGCTCGCACACAGAAAACAAGAGCCTGGGTGACAACTGATTGACCTTAGCTGGCAGTCTGGTCGTCTGTAGGTGACGTGCTGTCGGATGAGACAGCCGACTCGGATGTTGAAGTGGCTGGGGTGGAATCAATTTCAGGGGGTAAGGCAGAGCCCTCAGTTGGGGCGGTGGAAACAGAACCAGAGTTGGACTCTGCCTGGGTGGAACTTTCTTTATCTTCCTCCTGAGGATAGAGCTCAGGGTACCTCTGCATGCACTCCTGCATGTTACGGAAGTGATCGATGCACTCGGAGCCCTTCACCTCTTCCTTACTGTAATGGAAGCAGGAAAAGGCCTCCTTGAACTGAGAGCCACACGGCCCGCTGGCCATGCCGCCCAGGCACGGGCAGTTCCAGTTGATGTCTCCATTTGGCAAGATCAGGCCTAAAGAAACAGGAAACCAGACAAACAAGTTAACAGAATACCCCCTATGAGGTTAGGGATGTTTGAAAATCCACTTTTGTCACAAGGACAACTTGACTAACCCTGTTCCTCATAAGGATCATCTGGGTCCTCTGCAATGAGCTCAGCATTGCTGGGTGTCTCGTGGTCTTCCTTGGTCACAAAGATGATGCGATCCTTACCTTAAGACAAAAAAAACAAAAAAACAACAATCATCAGGGATTAGAATAATTTCTTAAATTAGGAAACCCTGTCCTGGCTTATGTGTATGATGCCAATTTATTTCCATACCTCAACAAATAAAAAGAATAGCTGTGCTATTTGGTTGGCAGTATCTCCTGGGTGGGGGGTGCTCTCCCAACTTGTGAACTAACTTTAACCGTTACGTGTCAAATTAACGACCCTATTATAAACACACCTTTACTACTACTGGAGGCCTGGCGTTGCTCGCAGCTAGCCAAGTAGCTAACCTACTGTTATCTAAGTTAACGATGTGTCTGGAAGGTTAGCCTAGCATGCTGGCTCGCTGACATTGCCCTGCCATGCAGTGAAAATTAATCGGATTTACCCTCTTGCCTGCAGTACGACATGCCGGTCGGTGTCTTTGTCCGTCGAGTCTCGTCCTCTGTGGTGAAAAATGTGTGTGAGAGAAACTGCCCAACAACTGCAAGGATTTCATTTGACAAGCTACCCGGCGTCCAAAACCCCGGCTACCCCTCTGACCTGTACATGTGTGGGCGCACGATAATGACGTCATCCGGTCTTTTAAAAGAAAATAAAAAAATAATTCTTTCTATTCATTTCAATTCAAATTAGCTTTATTGTCAGGAATGTGTAACAACAATATTGCCAGAGCATCATACAAACTACATAAGAACAATCAACCCCATACATTTCATTAAACAAGTAATTAAAGCGTATATGTGTTTGTGTTAATATATATATATATATATATATATATATATATATATATATATATAAAATTTACTAAAATATCAAGCAATCAAAATAATAATATTTTGAAAATTTGTTTGAGTTTGAGTTTACACTGGTTGTCCTCACTTCATGGCATGAGGAGACATATTTTGCAGCAATTATTTGACACTTGGGCACTTTCTTTTTTAGACAAATTCTGTCTTAACAACAAACTAAAAGAGGTTTCCTTTATTACATCGTATATATCCGGTAAAAAAGACATTTGAGAGATTTAGAATAAATATTGAGTATTCTTGCACTCAATTTGTCATTTGTTTTATCAATGTATATACAGTAGAATTTTTTGGTTGGATGTTGAACTTTATATGAGAAGGAAAACTGGACAAACATTTCAACTTCAGGAAAAATACATTATGTGTTTTGAAAGAAACGAGAAGGAAAAACCACAACAAAAAATGGACTATTTTTCTATCATTATATTATTTCAGAGACTACAAGAGTTTACACATTTAGAGATACATTTTTTAAATTGTTAATAATTTTAAATAAACTGAACTAAATTTTGACTCACCAAGTGTCCTCCTATCTACCACTTACATTACATATGACCTTGTGGCGGCCTTTTTATGTTACAGGTAACACAGACGTCTATATAATATACCGTTTTGCACACCATTGAAATTTCCTCCATAGCGTTTAGGGAACTTTGTGTTTCCGGGCTGTTCCATCCCTTGGGAGGTGATTAATTTCTGCTGCACTGGTGTGCATGACAAAAAACAGGTGATAACCGATGTGAGCTCACACATGTTCTAACCTGGCTCAAAAGGCCATAACAAAAGGGAGACACACCATGGTAGAAGTTTAACAATATATGTTTATTTAAGCCAAAATAAACCAAATTAAGGCTGGTGCCAAGGTAAAGGTGAACAAGTATGGGGTATGAACATCAGTGGTTTCAATCAGGTCAGGATGATGAATGCATGGAAAATGTGTATGAGGGTGTTGTAACGTGCAAGAAATAATAACTATCAACTAAAACAGCATGTCCAGAGACCAAGGCAAAGGTGGAACCTGTGGAGGTAAACAGATGGTAGCAAGTTAGCAGAGCAGTCCATCCTCTGCCCAGCAGCGACCTCTCTGAGAATGAGAATAAGGCGTTACAAATACTCTACAGGGCAATTAGCCCAGGTGCCCAGAGTTACTGCAATCAGTCTCAGCTCTTCACCTGCAAGGGATAGAGATTGGCCACATCCGCACATGACATGACGTCACAGCTGGGCCCCGTTCAACAGTTCAATCACCAGCTGTGTTTTGGTTTACAATGTGTTGAATGTTGTTAAAATAAGTTAGATGTTAAAAGTAGATGCACACTACTTACAGACAGATAGACAGTGAGAGATCGGCTTGACTCAAAGCCAGATTTTCGTAAATGACAACCATATTTACAAATAGTGAGTCAATTGTCCTCTAGCTTTTGTGGACTAAAACTAGACCAAAACTATCATTAGACAAATGTTTAAAACTAATAAAGATGTTCTACAAGAGCAGAGCTAAATAAAATAAATAATGGACTAAAAGAGGCATAGGCCTAGGCCCTTATAAATACAGCCTTGCTTAGTTTGTTTTGCTGTTACTGTTTTATTGTTGAAATCAAATTCATTTGTAAGAGGGATGTGTTATTTCTTCTTTTAAAAGTTACACAGTAGACTATTGCTTTAAAGGCCCGGTCTTTATTTTAGTATGACTCATTGTTTGTTTGGAGAGCTGATCATAAATTTACGGCTGTTACTGCCTTTAAAAGACACAGAAATCACAGAGAACAGTTGTGGCTAGACATGGGTTACGCATAGCCGGACTAAATCAGGTCTATAGTGAACCTAGACAGTGAAATAACGGCTATTGCTTGCTGGGTTGTTGATTGTCAAAGTGTCCTCAACATACTGAACCCCAAATTGCCCCTGGTGGCTGGTGGCTTAGACTCAGTGTATAAATGTGTGTGTGAATGCAACATAGTGTACCAGCGCTTTGAGTGATCGAAAAGAGACTATACAAATACAGAACATTTACATTAGTAGATGCTCAGAAGGTCAGTAGAAACGTAGAACCAAAGGGCTAAAACAGCACATAATAAGTCTAAAATCTGTTGACTTTGAGCCTCCAGTCAGCCACAGGTGTTTACTGAAAGTCATTGAAAGCATCCCACAGTGCTGTACCAGTCAAAGTCAACCAGCTGTCAAACGTGTTGTCATACACATAAAGGAAGCCAGCACATCCTGTGTGTTTAACTGCCACAACTTGCAGAGCTTAATATTCACCCACTTTGTAATTTAGCTTCTGTTCCACTTGCCTTGGCCAGATATTTACCATAGAAATTTTCTTCTATTTCTATTTGTGAGTCATTTTACATCTCTGACACATGGGAGAAATGGTGCTGTCAGTTTTGTGTAATCTGTACACTGTAAACCCGAATATGTTCAGAATACTCAAAATATTTGTGGAAACTGATTACCTCAAACTTTTTAAGTAGTGGTAATAATATTTTTGAGTAAACCTTAACTTAAATATAGTAAATATATATAGTAAATATAGTGCTTATTTAAATTAAATTCCACTTATTCTTTCTTCAATAAATGTAATTGTGCACAACTTGTACTCTGAGGGAAATCTACTCAAAACATTAATTGTGCTAGACTCAAATACTAATGGAAACTCACTCAACAAAATTACTACTGGTAAACTTAAAATTTACAAAATGCCCATTTTCAGATAGTACTCCCGAAAATACATATAAAACTCTAAAATTACTATAATTCAAGTTCTCTTTATTAGTATCTCTTCTCACAACATCTTCCGTCATTTCTACATTTAAAAGACACAAAATAAGGCACATCTTGCATAAAGCTGAATAAACAAAGTAATTGACGGCTTGATCAGATAATTAACCAGGAACAATTTTGATAATCAATTTGTTTTCATTCTTTTTTGCAATAATGTTGTACATTCTCAATTTCCAGATTCTTAATGAGATATTTTGGTATTAAGTGATAATATCTTGAATCTTGAGCTAAATACAATTTCCTTTTACTACTTTTCAGTGTTTTTTGTCTAGAACAGGTAGCTGTACCTGCAGGAGGAGGAAGTGATATCATCAGCCGCCACAGTGATGTCAAGTGTGTGTGTGAGTGCGTGCGCACCTCATCTTGTGGATCTCGTCACTGCTGGCCTACTTTTAGCTGACGCTTTTATTCAAAGCTACTTACAATAGCTATATATGTCAGAGGTCGCACGCCCCTGGAGCAACTGGGGGTAAAATGTCCTGCTCAGGGACACATTGGTGGAGATGTCACAATGGGGAATTAAACCCGGGTATATATATATATGATATAAAAATAATTTTATAGGCCTGTATGTATGTATATATATATATTAGACAGGAACATAACAATCAATAAATGTTTGCGTAACTTATGCATAATGGTCCCTACCTTGTCGACGCCTCCTTTGCATCTGTAATCTTTGATTGTGGGGTTGTAAGAGACCAGTGTGTGGGAGCAAATGAGGGGGAAGCTCAGGCTTGTTTTTCAGCGAATTGTGCCAACCAGGGCCTGTTTCCTCCTGAGCAGCACCTACTGGCAAAAGATGTGAAAAAGTTGTCACAGGTAATGAGGTAATGTGTCCCTGGAGCCCCTCTGTTAACTCCAGGATCACTCTCATCCCCTGGTTGACTTCAGCAGGATTGCCAGCTGCTTTGCCTGTGACGTTTTGACATCACAGGTTGCCCAAATCTTCATTCCATTTTTGGCTTGCTTTTTTGTCATGTACTATCTGAAGCTGCACCTGCATGGGACGAGATGTTCATCCACGCAGATGTCTGTGTCGGGGCTGAACAGCATTAGCAGGCATTGTGTCCACATATCCCAGTCTTTGCGGAAGGCAATTACTTGTCGTCGATCCACAGAACCCTGCTGATTGCGTGACACCTCACCTCTAGCCCGGAAAATGCTCAGTCCTGATTTCGCACTCCAAAGGCTGAGGGTTGTTTAATTTTTTGACCTGTATACGTGTGTGTATGTGTGTGTGTGTGTGTGCACAATGGTAAGGCCCAGCCATCAGCTCCCATGGTGCCTTTTCTTCAGAACTGAGGGCCCAGTAAGGCCCACAGCTTAGAGGGCTGGCCTATACTCATAGAATCTGGAGTTACATTACGTAACTATCGTTGTATTTCGTATAGGCTTCATCCTCTAAGGCCATCGCTATCGGGCTTAGAGGCGAAGCAGGATGAGTCAATGCCTCACTGGCCCATACGGTACCACCAAGTACAGACCCACCTACGTAGAGCCAACATAATAAGCCACCCGATCCCCCGTGGCCTGCAGCATTGGTGTCGCCATGCGCCAATGGCGCAACATGGGAAGGCCCCACGGATGTGCAGGTGCAGACGAGGTCACGACAGCGACCGCATCAGTTGCGCACAGAGCAAGGCTAGCGTGAGCCGCGGCCGCTCCCCTCTCCCGGATGGGAGAATTGCACCGCGCACTCACAGAGGACAATCACTCAGACAGAACGCTCAGTACTGAGTGAGTCAGCGAGATTTGGGAGACTTATCGCGGGCAGAAAGGATGGAAGAGCACGGGGAGATCAGGAGGCTGCCGTGCAGATGTCGTCCACCGTTGCTGTGAATGGCGCCAGGCGGCCGGGCAGAGGAGAAGAGACATGGCTTCATCCTCAGACCCATGGGGGGTGGGGGAGAAGCCCGAGAGAGTAATCACCTGCGATCGGAAGGAGCTGGTGATGCTCTC